CCGTGCACTAATTCCAAAGCTGTATGACTTTCTTGTAATCCAGTTGTTCAATTGCCAGTTTACAAACATACGAAATTCGTGCACAACAGGTGAAACCTATAACCAGCATCTAAATCCGTGTGTCGTATTACTAATACAATAACACTGTGCAAGGGAAACCAACCTTAACGACCAGGCGGTTCACACGACTACCTTACTTTTATGGCCGATCGTATTATGAAAAGGCGTAGTAAGTTAAATTGTAATGACCCAACTTGGGTATCCGTATACATCATGTATGTTATCACTGTGCATGTATAATAACACAAATTTAACAACAGCAAAGAACGCCTACCGAGCATATCTCAGCTCAATATTGAGAACTGACAAACTTGGAAGTGCCCCAGTGGTTTGCATGTCTTTTATTTCTATGAAACAAACAGAGAAAAATGTCAAACCCATGATCCACAAACTGTCTTCATCTAATTCGCCACTCTTACCCGGGAGTTCGTGTTTTCCAGACTGTACTCTGCTAGCAAATCCAGAGTTAGATCTGGAACCTGGTGACAAAAGCTCGGTTTTCTGTGCTGAAGGTATTCTAGGCATGCGTACATCGGACATTTTTCTTGAAACAGGAACGTTCGTTCTAAAAAAGAGTAGCAAAAAATAATTTTAAATGGTTTGACCTAATGGGCTACAGTGTAAATTTAAGATAAGTTTTGACGGGGGCGGGGTACTCCCTTACATGGGTTATATAGGTATTGTGCGGCCCCAAAAGATACAGTTATTCAACCGTTTTGGTCATAAATAGGGTATGGTTTTTGTACTCTAGTCTTGATACGGGTATGTTTTTAAAGAAAAGCTACTTTTTTATCATTATCAATAAGACCATCAACAAAAGCCCTTCACAAGTTATGTTTATGGCAATGTTACATTGGTCTAGCTTTCTAATTATAACGCACGTCTGAAACAGGGTATTGATTTAAGGGTCAGGTCATAAATAGGGTATCGAATTTTTGGTAAAGTCATAAATCGCAGAAATTGGTCACAAATAAATAGGGTAAGGGCTTTGGGAAGCGGGTTGCACACCCTCACCCAATTTTTATGGCAGTAGCTGTATCGTCATCGATTATAATTTCACATAATTACGCGCGCATAACCTGACAAACGATAATTGCCTAATTACTGTATCACTGACCAATTGACACAGAAACAACTGTGATAAGACATTACTGAAGGCCATCGGATTTCGAACTACATACTACATATTATATTGACTGATCATTGTTTCAATTATACGCTACGCTTCTGCTACCAAATGGAATAAAGTAGTTTGAAACCGAAAGCATATTGAATATTGGTATACACCGATACATTCGAAATTTCCCCGCCCCCTTGGAAAATTGACACGTTGGATATTTTTTGATAATTTGCGATTTAAAAATTGTGACGGCATTCTTCCGTCGTTCATGGTTGCCATTTAATTTGGCAGTACAGGTGTACCAGCTACTGACTGTGGAACAAAACAGCCAAAATCTGACCTTTCATCCAGAACAGTGGTCTCTTTTGCAGATAAGGAACTCTTGGACCTTTTCTTCAGTCTCCCTGCAGGACACAAGAAAACCAAGCATTATAAACAGAAAAACAAACAAACGAAACTAAATTACATGAATGTACATTAATGTATTGGTATGTTAGGAATTCAACTGCACGTCGGTGACTTACTTTCAGCTGCTTGAAGCGGTGCAGTACTCATCCGAACTGTTGTCTCCTGCAAAATAACCATAACGCAGCAAGGTTAAAATACATGTACATTTTCTTTCAACAATTCCTTATCACCTTACAGTTCTTACTAGTAAAGTTGTTTTTTGTCACGTTATACTAACATCAGTGTTTTCTGGCCATATAGCAAAGGCTTCTGCAGTCACCGGTGGCGGATCCAGACCTTGAGCTAAGGAGTGGCGGATGTTTCTTTTGCTTGCCCTGCCGGTTTTCCTTCCTTCTGTGATTTCTTCTTTTTTCGCCCAAAATAAGGGGGGGGGGGTCGGCTCCCCGGCCCCTCCCCTAGATCGGACACTGGTCACATATTTTAAAAGTGTTATATAATGCACAGCACATGGCTCGTAAAAGTGGCAAAATAAACACGTCAGGTAGTTTTAGAGAACAGTTCACGGTATACTGACAAAACTCTACCTGTTCTGTTGACTGTTTTTGTTCAGTGAATTCAGGGTCTTGTTGGACGTGAGGAGGAACTGAAGCTGAAACAAAACCATGGTAATTATATTTTTAAAATTTAATAAATTTTTAATGAGGACGTGGGATATGATGCAGTTGCAATCAACCTGTGATCATGAGTTTTCTTTTATGTAGGAGGGAGGGTATGATAGCAGGTTAAGTTACAATGAGACTAGATATTACTACTTAATTACAGAAAAATTGAAAGTCTGAATTGACCATCTGCTGTTTTTTTACTTGACAACTTTGACGAGAATAAAAATCGAATTGTTATAGAGCTAGCGTTTTTCCCGCTACAGCGCGCCAATTCATTGGCTAGTTCATGGTCACATGACATCTCACAATGAAACTGTTCAGTTACCGCGAATTGCCTTGAGCGGGCAACATTGCGAAAACTATGAAGGCAAATGGGAAACAGTTCACTGTTACCCGCGAAATGTTGACTGCTATTTGACGTGATCAGAGCGTGCAGAGTTGAAGATGGCCTGATACTGTCGCTGGAATCTCCGTGCGTTTTTCAAAATTTGCTTTTGTTTTGTTTTGCTATATAACAAATCACTAAATGACTGGTGCCTTGGGGAACAGTGAATTTTGTTTCCCTCGATTCTCAATGTTTCCCGAGACGAAGTCGAACAGTGAATTTTGTTTCCCTCGGATATCAATGTTTCCCGAGACGAAGTCGAGGGAAACGTCAAGATTCGAGGGAAACAAAATTCACTGTTCCCCTCACGACCAGTCATTAAGTATTAAATGTTACCCAGACACAATATTATAATAAATCCTTTGGTTTTACCTACGCTTTTAGTTGTTATAAGAATGTTGCTCAATTTACCTAAAAAGACCCTCTTGGATTGAAGTTTGTTATCTTTGGTTTGTTCTGCCCAAGCATCTGGAAAGGAGACAGTCACAGAGCAATCAAGAACTACTGACAGCCCAATCTGAAGGCTTCTTACAACTGTTCAATACACTAACATTCAACTAACCATTCACTCTTAATTAGTAATGCATAGCATTCAACATACATTTACTTAAAACAAAACAGTAACCACAGTACCTTTCAGGACAACTTGCACCCTCGTACCCTTTGCCACATCAACCGGCGACAGACCTGCAGAGCAAATAACTTATCATTAATATCAATAGGTGAAGGTCTCCACGTGCACTGGGGCCTTAAAAAAATACCCTGCACATGCACAGTGTCCGTAACTCTTATTACAGTAGCTATTTAGATTAGTTATTCATTGTCATGGTCATGGTCATCATCATCATCACCATCATCACTTTATTTGCACAATAAAGAAGGAGCATGATTGTGCAATTACATGTATCAATTTTGATAGAGTGAGGAGACCTCCAAAAAACCGCCAGCCGAAGGCTTATAACAGAGGCCACCCCAACTGTTGTCTGATCTGGAGACAGTAATTTTGCCACGTTATATTTGTTCACTTGTTTAAACACTGGATGAGTAATCAATAAATAAACTTACCATTGTCATCTGTTATAGTGACATCTGCTCCATGATAAAGAAGTGTGTCAGAAGATTTCTCATATCCATGAGAAGCCTGCAGCATTTTAACAAAGCAGACAACAATCTCTTAGGATCACCAGACTAAACACTGGGTATATTCCCCATCAGGCAGGCCCATAGCAATTTAAAACTTTGCTCAACACGCCAGGGTGGACAGTATCAAAACTTATATGTACCACACTTGTTGCACAAGCAATGTAAGTGAGGTTTTCAACACAGAATACATGTAGGTACACTGTAGACAAAATAAAGGTAACTACATACTGAGCATTTTCAAGACACTGTAACAGGGCCTCTAATAGCTCACAGGAAAAAAAGTTAAATTTTACAGGATTTTCAGAGACAAATTCGCAGAAGAATGGCTAATTTTTTGGAGGAATTTGGGGGCAAATTTTGCCAAAAAACAATAGGTAAAAATGACCGATTCGGCATTGCACTGATTTGACAAACGTTCTTAATGAAAAAAGATGGTAATTTTGCCATTTTTGGTTTAAATGAGAAAATAATGAGCATTAGCCTACAGTATGCAATAACAATTTAAAGTGTTCAACACAAACACCGACTACTTATAAATGTTGCCTTTCTAAAACTGGTGATTTTGCAGGAAAATTTGAGCAACTCATTTGGACTATTATTGTACTTGCCAAGAAAGGAATATTGAAGGCACTTTGCTATTTGTTTGAGCACAAGGTTCTTTTTGACTGAGAACATCATTTGCTCTTTCAACAACAATGCGCTTGAGAAATGCACCAATGGCAAAGCTCTTAACATTGTGACCACTGTCCAGTTTTTTGCCTCATTAATCTAATTCTGAAGCAGTTTATTTAAAATAAGGAATCTAGACTTCTTTATAAACCGGCCTAATTACCTAGATATTTCCTTTTTATATTTGTAAATATATTTAATTATTTTATTTTATTTTATTCTGATCATCTGTGTAATTGAATTTGAGTAAATAAATAAGTAGATAAATAAAAGAACGCCTCCAGGGTAGTTTTGGGATGTTCATGTTTACTCATTGCAGTAATGGAGTTTCACGATAAATTTGCAAGTTTACAACTAACAATAAGTTTCAAATATGTTGTACTGACATGTACATGTATTTGGTAAGATTTCTAGCCAATTTCGCAGTATTTTGGGCGTTTTAGTGAATTTCACAGGATTTTGTGGATTTACTTGAAATTGGCAGCTCTGTGACCATGCTAAATATCAGAACCCCTGCTGTAATAGAGAGGTCTAAATATGTAATACATTTTTAAGTGAGATGCCTAACTCAAAGACACTTAATGGTGGACAGAAGTTCTACATTAACAGTAATTTGCTTCAGAGTGAATAAATTTGAGTAGTTTATACATACAGCAATATGAAGAGGAGTCCTTCCAATATGTCCTTTGGCATTGACGTTAGCTCCACCCTTGATAAGAGCCAGTAGGATTGGCTGATTGTCCTCTTTGGTTGCCCAGTGTAGGGGGGAGTTGCAGAATCTATCTGGCACATCTAGGGCAAAAAAATGCCCAGGGGAAAAAACATTACTATTAATCACTGTATATCTACAATGGGACAGACAAACAAAATTTATCTTTGGTTGTGCTCTTTGGTAGACAAGTTGTGAACCTATGGTGGTGTATATCATACAGAAATCTCTCGTCATGCCATGCAGACTTATGATGCCAACTTAAAACTCACCAATTTCGGTTGCACCCTTCTCTATCAGGACATCTACCACATCCCTGGCATGGCCTCCTTTTCCATACGCTGCAAGGTGAAGAGGTCTTTTGCCTTCACTGTCTTTGGCACCACAGTCACTGCAAATAAATTTCAAACATACTGAGTACATGCACACTTTAGGTACTAGAAATGTAAGGGAACTTACTAATTTTTAGCAGTTAAGCTGTTATGTTTCACATAGCATACATGATATGTACTACTGTACATGTAACATGAATTTTTTTTCACAATTGTACTGTACATGAGGCATTTCAAAGAAAGGCTAATTTTCCATGTAAAAAATAAATTGTAAACTAGGAAGCAAAATATGCTAGGCATCACAAAATAAATAAATCAATAAAATGCAATTCAGTCAAATTTTAGAAGTAACTTGTTTTATGCAATAGCTTTTGAAGATACACATATTTGTTTGTGCATACCAGCACATTTGTGACATATGCACATTATTTGTATTTGTTTTTTAACATGACACATGTATGACCTGATGACGTACTGATTGGTAATAATTATTACTTACGCATTGTGATTTATCAGTTCCTTAACAACTTCCACTGGGTGATAGCCACTGTCCATAACAGCTTTCTCAACTGCAGTTATTTAATTATCAGATGAGAAAAGCACTCATGAGTTAAATTCTAAAAAGTCGATTAAACTATGAAAAAAAAAAATTAACACGTATATTGGGTCTACATGTACAGTGTACACTAGGCACCCTCACATACTTGACTTGACCCTTTCAGTGCCTCCATAACATACTGAGAATGTCATGAATGTGTCTTACATGTACACTTCACATGCCTTCTTGACCTACTGAGTATGTCAAGATTTTCAAGGCTAAAGTCAAATCATTGGCACACCAACATGCAAAATGCAAAACCCTTTGGCCTAAGAGATCTTTGATACTTGGGAGATTGGTAACTATTAGTTACTGGTCTCCCAGAAGAATGTTCATGGTTTTGCCTCTAACTTTCCACCATCTTGTTTCTGTCAAGTATTGAGAAGATGTGAGACAAGTTTGGGCATATTGAAAAATACATCGGTGAGGGAGCAAAGGTATAATGCCCAGGAAGCTCTAGAAAGGGTTTGGAATGATTCTGGTGACGAAAAAGATTTCGATAGCAATGAAAACGAAGTTAAGTCATATGAGTTGGCCAGTGAAGACGAAATTGGTGAGTCTGAAGATGCATCTGGCACAGGGGGCTGGCTCATGGGGGCTGGCAGTGAAGGGGTTAAAGGACCATAGTTAGCCTCTGCAATTTTTGATGTCAATGAAATTATTGACATTGCATGGTGAAGCGAAATCTTATTGCTTTACTGTAAGTTGTGTTCCTGAAAGTTATCTTTAGTAGTTTCATAGTGATTTACTTTGTTTCAACACGCTCCAGACAAACAATATATCAGTAACCAAACTCTCTCATGTAAACAAAAAAAAAAGGTGTGGCTGACTAGGGCCCTTTAAGCACTGTAGAGAAATTTTGACTGTAACTAAGGGTAATTAAATCCTACAAGAATTCTAGATCTTAAAAAAATAAATCTGTACTTTTATTTACTTTAAAATTAATACTTTTACTCTGAACAATTTTTCCAGGTACACGTACATGTAAGACACGGAATCACGACAAAAAAAAAAATTAATTAAATCAATCTAGTGTCATAACACAAGTTTCCATCCAAAATATTTAATGATAGTCTTACTTTTCTCGAAGAGGTTTAAGTCTCTTGTGACGAGAAGAAGAGGCGTCAAACCATCTGCATTTGTACAGTTCACATCCAGCATGGATTTGGATGACTATAAAAAAAGAGTAAGAACAAATTTATATGTAAACATTAGGCCAGTTCTTGTTAAGTTCTATCCATGTGCACGTTCTATACGTGACATTGTGCATGTAATAAGTTACTTCAATCTGTTTATTTTAAAAGCGATCTTGATCTTTTAAGGTCCTTGAACTGATTATCTTAAGAGAAGTTTTTCGTACAGCGGAGCTCAGTTGTGGAACAACTTACCTATAGACCTAAGACAAGCATCTTCACTGACCAATTTCAAATCTAAATTAAGTTGCCACAGTTTAAAGTAATATCTTACTTTTAAGTAAACTTTTAGACACAGCCTCCACGAAAAGCAGTTTTTTTTTAAAATTTTTATTATAAGTAGGCAGATAGGTAGATAGTCCAGTAACTTTGTTGACTGACAGAAAACCTGTGTATAAATAAAGTTATCTTATCTTATCTATCTTACCACCCCCCTTATCTATCTTATCACCCCCTACCCCCCGCCCCCAACTTCTCTCTTCAAGGCAGAATGCTTCGAATATTTACAATACGATACGTTACAGTACAAGTTTAACATGGGGCTTACCCTTAGCTGATCAGCTAGTTTACAAGTAATCTACAGCCCTAAGTACAGTATATTCTAATTTTAAATTAAAACTAAAATTTAAATTTTCAAGAATATTTGGGCATCAAGGGATTTAGTAGGCAGGATTATTGTCACCAGGGGACCAGAAGACCTACATCAGCATCAGATTAGTCAATATGCTGATCAATCTGAAACCGATGGAGGCCATTAGCCCACTAGGGGTCTTTCTTTAACACAGTGGTTACTGCCTGACTGATATCTGGGAGGTCTTGGGTTCAAATCTGCCACAGGGGACTCATCTGGATTTTTGATTGGTCCCATTTTCAGATTATGCCAAACATTCCGTTTTTCTCATCTACATGACTTGTATTCACCAATCTTAAACTTAGCACTATTGTAATAATTTCATATCAAACGAGATGCTTGCAGCATGCATGTAACTACATGTATGTATCTAATCCGATGCTCACAGCAAATTGCTTATAATAAACAAATTTGTTTCTTTCAAATACTGTGGCTAGACTAGCAGCTATGAGCACTTTTTCATTGCCTGGGTGTAGTACGAAATAAGTGCAAAATGTTTTTCTCGCATGCCGCTGGGGCCTGGGTCTACATGTAGGTTGTGTGAGCCTATAGGGCAGGCAGTTGCTTTTGTTGTGTCCACCATTACCAACTTTCCTGCCCACCTACCCAAAGATTTTAAGTTTTTATAAAATACCAGTATATTGTACAAGCCTAGTCATGAACTTTTTTCATCACTTCCAGTTTTTAGCATAGTGCAATTAATTTTGTATTAATAAAAATTACCTTTGATTTTGCAATAAAGGTCAGGCAGCGCAGACAGCTTGACAATTAGCTACCAGTGGTGTGTGAGAATAGTCATTTAAAGCTTCTAAAATCTAAATCCAATGATAATCATTTTAAAATTCCATTTGCACAGTTGCAAAAGGTTACTTACCAACAATTTCTTCACCAAAAGAACATTTCCTTGCCAGGCAGCCTGCAGCAAATGCCGAGATGAATATCCTGTACACAAAAAAAGTTATCACTGATAAAGGAATCTGATAAATACCATGCTCTGATTTTGAAAAGCTTAAGGCTGCAGCACACTAGCCAATTTTCTGTCATAGAACTGCAGATTTCATGTCAGGGTCAAATCGGGTTAAAATTTGTCGGGCCACCAGCTTGCCGCACCCTAGCCGAGTTTTTGTCACGACTAACCACGTTGAGGCTTGGGACTGAGTCATCCAAAATCAAGATGGCGCCTATTCCACTGACGCAACTCTCATGACATTTCCCAATTGGTTGAGGTGTGTGCGAGCCCCGACAAATTGTCTTGGTCCACCGCACACTAGCCGACAAGGCCCGACAAGACATTCTGAGATCTAGCACCGTCAGATATCACCAACAAACCCCAATCTCGTCGCAGACTTGTCTGAATTCACCGCACACTAGCCAACAAGTGAAGAGTTTTTTGTCGGCCTACAAAAAATCAGCTAGTGTGCAGCAGCCCTAAATAGATCAAAAAAATGTTTTCAAAATTACAAACAACTTCCAAACTCACCTTGCCTTGCAACAGAACCTAAAAATGCAATATGTCAAAATTAGTAAAGAGTTAAAAATACATTCCATTTTGACACATTTAGATGTATACCTCTGACTAACTGAGTTTGAGGGCTGTACTGTAAGTTACGGACCAAGTTTTTTCCCCTTCAATACAGTCAAGGAAAAATGAGCATCTGTAACTTACAGTACGGACCAAGACAATGAGCTTAGTAAGGTAATTATATCTCTCCTGTGTGATGGGTTCAGGAAGGATAACTATTCACAAGGAACCGCTTCAAATTTCTGATGCACCTCAAAAGCAAAGCGAGTCAATTTGAAATCGTTTTTAAGTCATTAGCACACAGTCTTTAAACATAATATTACACAATTACGAGTAAAAGAAAGTTGTAAACTTTTACTTGCTATAAAAGTTGAGAACACTTGGTGATAAATCACAAAACAGTTTGGCAACAAAAACAACTTTAAAAGAGTTCAGCGGTCTGTGGGCCATACAGGAGAACACGACCCGCTAAATTGCCCACCAGACAAGTTCTTGCCCAGCAGAAAAATCTGCTTGTCCTGGACAACCAGGCGGCACTTTTTCCAAGCGTTTTGAACTGGTTTAATAAATACATACCCAGAAGTAAGGGCCTCATCGAGTCTGACGCAAAATCCAGGACTGACTGCCCTTTGTTGTTACACAAAGTTATGTCTGCTCCATAGTTCAACAGCAGTGACACCACCTGCAAGCAGAAAACAACAACTTGTTTCAACTTAATTAAGTACATGTATGACACAAAAATAACTTATTTTAATTTAACTTAATAGTAGTGCAAGATAGTAAAATAATTTTTGTAAATTTAACAAAAAATATGTGAGTCACTTCACCCTTCCACTGACTTTTTGAATTTTAAGGTTATTAAATTGAAAATTCTGTCAATTCTACAATAACAAATTATTTTTTAACGTAGGTGTATTATCACGGTACAATATGCACATCAAAGAGTGATGGAACATACCATCGTACAGTTTGTGCCAGTTACGACACTGAGCTAATCTTCTGCATACATAAAAGTTTGCATTTTTGGCTACATAGTGGAACCATGCCTTACATGTACAGCCACCCCATTCATAGTACCACATCATTATTAATGACCACTCTATTCTGACCCAAACAAATTAATTACATGTAATTCCGTGATTTTTTTATTTAAAGAATCCCTTCAAATGACACGGCCACCCCTTCTGTCAAGGCATAACTGGAATAGCCTACATTGAGGTGTAAACGGGGAAGGGATAGGAAGGCAAAAAATGTGAGGTAGAAGGGAAAGGAATGTCTGCTACAGTACCAGTATACTATTGATCCCAGACATCTGTTGAAAAGTTGTTTTTTTTTTTGGTGGGGGGGAGGGGGGTAGTTGCACGCACCGTCAGTTTCAGCCATGGATTCAAAATAAGTGATTCTTCAGCTGGTCATTAACCAGTACAAAATGAGCAGCGCTGTTGCAGCGCTGCAGAACAGCTTCAAGAAGTACTGCAAAACTGCTGTGAAGTGGCTGGCTGCAGAAGTCACAAATTTTGGCTGCTAAATGCTGCCATGAGCAGCTGTTTAACAGCTTTAAACAGCGATTTGACAGCAGCACAGACATTTTCCGAAATCCCGATCAGTGCTGTGGAAAGCTAAGGCTGTAATATGCCAAGAATGTGTTTATGAGATATCAGTTTACGTACGTACGGGATTTACAAAGATACTTTTCTTGGCACCAACAAACATTTCATAAATTAGGCTTTTCCTGTATCCTGCAAACAAAACTGCCAGAAACAGCTCCACAGCTAAACAAGTTGCTAGGTGCAATTCTTGCTTGGGTAATATAAATTTATTTGCTCACGCTGAGATTTAAATCTCTCAAAGCCCTTACCAATTATACATCTTCGTACATGACCATTGTTGGTTGTTGTGATGAGATGGTGTCAATCAATAAGTTACACAGTGAAGATTAGCCAATGGGAATTATACATTCGCCAGTAAACATAGAAATGAACAAAGTGGGGTTCCTATAGCAAGCATTCTTCCTTCCTCCTAGTCTCTCTTCCTTCCATCTGCACTTCGCCTCCCCCTTCCACTTCCTCTTGCCTTCTCCCTCCCTCTCTCTCTCCCCATTTAATGCCTGTGATGCAGGCAAAAGCTAGGATATTGACTTTGTTTAATATTTAACTGAAAACTAAGCGGATGAATTCTTGTCATATCACTAAGCAACAACACAATGTAAATTAAATCAAGTCTGCTATTTTATAGGAATTTCTCAGAAAATCGGGAAATATATCACACGATTTATTGCATTACATGAGCACAAGCTAGTAAAATTTTTCAAAGGCACTGCCTTCATAAAAGAAACCATGAAAAATGTCGTTTCCTTGTTTACATAACCTGAAAAAAGTGCTTGTGTAAACACTAATGCGGTACGTGCCTCTGTTTTATAAATAAATTTTCGATTCCCGCGACTTTCTCACGTACCATATTTAGTAAAAATGTTATTAAACATAGTCCGGAATAGTATTAATACTCATCAATAAAATTAACAGCAAACTTAATATTGGCTTCTACTGATCACACGTCAATACCTTTCGATGCTCGTTCATTGCCGCCAGCATGACCGCGGTGAATCCTCCATCCTTGGTTTTAGCGTCCACGTTAACTGACTGCAGATTAAAAGAAAATGCAAAGTTTCTATATTTACAACAGCAACAACAACAACAAAAACTGCTGGGATAGAAACGTTACGTCGATAAAAATAAGTCTTAAGGCTTGCAAGCGTAGGCTTTTTAAAAATCAGCTGAATTCTGTGTACATTGGGGCATCAATGCTGTTAAAAGTTATTTGTTTTGTGTTCACTACAAGCTTATTGTCTGCTTCGCTTACCGCATTTCTCGACGTACGAGCGAGAAAATTCTGCACTCTTTCATAGTCACCATTCTGTGAAAAACAGACATGGAAATTTGTCATAAAATGCACTGATGCAAAAGCACAGAGAAGACAACAAAAAGCATGCGGTTGTTTACAAGTACGAACCTTCGCTGCATTTAAGAACAGTTCGTTCAGGTAGATGTCTGCCCTGAAACACAAAGCAAATCTAATGTTAAAAGGAAATTGCAAGGTGACACAACAGATGATAGCAAACTGTGAAACAGGAAATCTGCCTAGAGTGATTCGATATTCTGCACCTTCCATCGGAAAAGAGTCTTGAAGTGCAATCGTAGTAGTGTCTCATGTAATTCTTCGTTCTGTATACTCGCGCACAATGCCCATCGGACAAGCCTCCTTTCGTCATTGCAGCGATCGTCGACGATAGCAGCAAACTGCCGTTTGTTTGGAGTCCATTGGTGGAAAATCAGCGTGAACACAAGCGCTTTTCGGCCATTAAAAACGCGAGATAAAGCCACACACGACAAAATCGACGAGTCCTTTCAAACAAGGCTTCCCATAATTCAACTTTGTATATTTTTCTACCGCCATGGCAATAGCCAATCAGCGAGCAGTATTTTGATAGTTCTGTTATGATTACGTCATTTCCCGGGAAAATACCGTAAAAATAACAAAGACTTCTCAAAATGACTTTTGTCATGCATACATACTGTGGGTCTATTGAAGGTTATTTTTAAGGTAAACCTGTTTGAGACCAGCTTATTTACCCACTTCTTGAAAGGTAATTTCACGAGGACTTGTTTATCGGTTTAACTCCGTTACAGATCGCGTGATCATTTTTCGTCTCAATAGAAAGCCAGAACCGTTGCTTTCAACCATTGAATTTTTGTAGTAAAATTTTTATGTGTATTAAAGAAACTTTAGATCAGTGCTAAACATTCAAGTATCTGATCCGTGAAACAAATCTTTACCGACAGCCAGGTCCGGGCAGCCAGGGAATCGAACGACACGAGACCGAATTAATATGCGCATAAATTGATACTGAAGCTATCACTGCCGACTTCCTTCCTAGATAAGTCAAGTATAAGTCGCATTAATTTAGTTTACAAGGAACGGTATCTTAATTTCTACCCTTAAATTGAAGTTTTTTAAGAGATACGTACAGTATTAAACGGTTCCTGTTGAATTTTGTACCTCGCTCGGCTCGCGTGATCACTAATCGGTCGTGAATTATAATTACGCGCCGTCATAGCACAACACATTGCACTAAAATCGAAAACCAATCTCGAAATTCTAAATCTATATGCTTCTGAAATGTAAAGCGAGATATTTGAAGATAAGTTATCAAATAAGCTGAAGAAATAAGATTTGTAAATGGCACGATCGAGAAACATAACTCGTCGTACTAATTTCAGTTCAGCTGATCTCACGTTCGACGTTCGTACCGTGAAGTCACGCAAATACACAAGGGACAACAGTGAAAAGAAATTGTAACAAAACTGCTGGATATAAACGATTAGCCACGGATAAACCAACAGACAAGGTACCTCGCACACCTCTTTGCTATTACAAAGACACAATTTCATATTTTCCAGGATATTTCTCCCATATTTTACTGACAGAATCAGTCCTTATCAAGTGCTCAGCGAGTCAAAAGGCAATATCGCGATGTTCAATCACTTTGCGTTCGATTTTCAACGAATTTGGAACGTTATTTTGGAATTATATTAAACATTTCTACAGGGTTGGAAAGACTGATAACTTTTACAACACCAGATCTAGAAATTTCGTCAAGTACTTACGTTTTCAGCGGCACAGGGTTATTCAACGTGAAATACGGCATGGTATCACACTGTACCGGGAAGCTCAATATCACGGAAGTATTGTAGCACCCGGAGAGAGTGATACTGTAGATCCTTGTTGTTTGCCGACTTCCTAACTTTGCCAGCCCGATTGATTCTCCTGTCTTAAAAAAAACATTGACGTGCATGCGTATTTATTTACAAACTTTAAAAGAACTTTCATTGTTCCCTTCTCGACAGTGATTGGATAGTCTTTCATGCATGACAGCTTCAGCGCTAACGGACACGAAATGCTTTTGTATTTCAATGGGGCCATATTTTTTTTTCTCTTACAATATCACGACATTGGTTCCAGTGCACGATTTTGCGGGGGTGAAGTCAAGTGTTCTCAAAATACACAAAACAGAACGACTTAGAAACTACACAAAGACCCTTTAAAAATAGACCTTGGTCTTCGTAGAAACTACATACGACTCTCTCTTCTGTCCGGGCTTGCAGAGAAGAAGACCGAAGTTGCAGACAGAAGTTTTGCTATGACGAGGGATTATCCTTATAAATCGTCGAAGACAGCTTAGAATCGAAACTTTTAATGATGATTTCTCTATGTATACGCTTTATTACTCTCTTTCTTTTTGATAAGAACATTGGTTTTCCGTATTCTTACCGGTATCTGCCGATTTTAGGATGAAAATATTCTTGTGAATGGATTATAGTAGCTATGACATTTCTGTGTTAGAATGTAATGGGGGTATCGATTAAAAGTGTTGGTGTTTAGATGGCGTTGAAGTAATTTTGGAGCCAGACTGCTGGCATTAAAGCCTGATATGGCACATAGAATTTCTTGCAGAAATGCTTTTAGCCGATCAAACATACAGGTCTCTGTAAGACGTGGACCGGATAGGCGACGGATGGCGGATGGCGAAAATATGCGGATGGCAAAATGCGGATGACAAACTGCGGATGGAAAAATGCGGTTGACAAAAAATGCGGATGGAAAATTGCAATTGGCCATATGCGAATGATAAAATACTTAACCTTTTGAGCCCTAATTATGCATATTCGGGTAATTCATGGTCTAGCTCTTTGTTTCACTTGTGACGTCATTAATTTGAATGTCATCAGATATTCTTGACAAGCAGATAGTAGAACTTGGCCAGGGTAGACCTTTCCGTGGTGCAAAAACGGTGGTAAAATGGTCCACTATGCCTATGATTGATCAAAGTCCATTTCTAGGCTTCGCTCGTAATTAACATACAACTTTTCACGGCAGCCAGAAAGAACATGCAACGCAACAGGTAGCCAGAGTAAAAGGGCCGAGGATAAAAAGAAAGGAAAGGGGCAACAAACAAAATTGAGAACGGGTAATGACAAAAAGGAAGTCCAAATTTTGGCTTATACGCATGCCCGGAATTGAAATATTGCTCAATTTTGTACGTAGTCCTCGAAAAATCTCTCCTTTTGGTAGAAAAAGCTTTCTTAGCAAAACTTAGGCTTATTTAGCTTCATGGCAGCCAAAACACCTGATTTAACGGTTAAAAACGGTATTTTTTTAACAAAAGTTTGATATTCAAAGGGTTAAGAGGGGAAATTGACTTACGATGTTTTATGGCAGTCCCAGTTGTGAATAAACCAGGTTATCTTATAGAATTTAGGCCGGGAGAAGTCTAATATTTTTATTCAATCACAAAACATATAGAAAATTTTTACGCCCGCTGGATCCAATAAAACAAAAACGGAACAGTCTATGATCGATTAATAACAGACTAGGCTTTCCTTTTATAAGAGAAGAGAAAAATCAAGAAAAACCTCTGGGACCAGGATAGTTCTTCTTTCACTTTTGCATCACAGGACTGTCACTGTCTATTCCCATTGAAATTTCCACTGCAGGAAACTGACATTGTCAAATTAAATGCCACTACATGCAGTAACCGATCGCGATCGCGCCCCACTGTACCCTAGTTGAAAAGTCTGCAAGGCAAAGGCCAGTGACCTTAGCGCAAGCGGAACTGAGCACGGGCAATGGAGTTTACATAGCGACGATTCCTTGAACAAAGCTACCTGTGTTTGGTCGAGCGAACTTATATCGAACGGGTACAGAGCTTTTTTTAAAGAGTGTTTTTACAGCTTTTTCTCCCTCTTAAATTAGCGAAAGAAATTGAATTCCAGATATGAAAGCGCTATAAAATAGCGATGCACGTTCCCCGTCAAAGTCTGCAGGAATTTTAACAGACAAAATTCAATGAATTTAAAATTATCGGAAATATCTTTTGCTTCGTGTTTTGCCAGATCAAAACTAAATACTTCACTGTTTTGCTGTATCAGAGACGGCGTACGTCAATAAAATGACAAAAATGATGCCAAAAATAATTTAGGACTGATTTCATAAAGGTTTTAACCGTAAACAATACCATAACCTTTTCTGTCGATAATAGTTTATTCTTCTCTTCGGCGTTTTAATACACCAAAAAGAGCATTAATTAATTAAAAGCATTAATCTTACAAATATTTTCACCTCCAGCCATCAGGGGGCAACAACGGCATCTTACCGTGATGATCGAATTCTGTTGATGGATATTCCACTTCTTTGTACCTCAAAATTGGAAATCCATTGCCGCCAAGAGAACAATCAACATCGTAGTTAATTTCCCCTCATC